CTCCAGGTGGCCAGATGCTTGTGCAGGTCAGCCTGTCTGAGATGGAACACCTGAAGATCAAGCAGCATGGTACCTCAGTAATGATGTACGACGACTACCCCGCAAGAGCTTCTTGCCAACAAATGATTCCTTGCATTGCCCGCCTGCACCATTTCTAGTCATCACAAAATTGAGTTGTGGAGGACGGATCCGTCGCCGAGCTGCCTGTATTCATGATTCGCAGTGACCCTTCCCTCGGCGAAATCAAGAGCATCGAGGACGTGTACAGGCGAAAGAAGCGCAAAGGCGGGCTGAGTTGTGCTTGCCTGCTTGTTTTTGTTCAGAAATGCAAAGCTCCTGATCACTTCTAGACTCAAGGGGACCCGCGTAGGCGAAAGGCGTCTCACGTGCGTGTCACGCAGGGGATTCCTATGTTGTACCGAGTCTTTTGCGTCTCATATCCTGTCATGTGGCATGTTTCTCAAGAGCCTCCACACTGCATTTTCTGGATTTCTCCATTTGTCCAGTTTGCTTCTCTGTATATATATATATTACATACGCAAATACGTACACATATATATATATATACTTCTCATATCCCTACTCTGTTTCTTGAGCTCCCTGGTCTTGTGGCCTGCCAAAACCGTTTCGGCCGCTTTGTTAGGTAGGAAGCTGGCCATTTACGCATGAACCTCTTTTCGGAGAGCGTGGCGTAGTAATTCCAGAAGTTCTGGAGGCTTTCTGTGGCAAGATCCCATTGTAGATGCCGTACTTCAGACCAACTTCTGAAGCGAACTCCCATCCCAGATGCCGTGTTTGTTCTTGCGCTCCCCTGTACAGTCTCATGGGGTGCGCACTTGCAAAACAAGATGTACATGGGGATTTGGGCCTGCAAAATTGGATGCATACCATGCTTTCAGAGCTGGGGCCTACGTCTCCCGTACTTGGTTCTGCCATCATGAACGCCCGCGACGTGGTAAGGGTGTCTACATGATGACTTGGTGTTTTGAAGTCCGTGGGGTGATTTCTGCCCATTTGGTGTGCCTTTGACATCCAGGGGCAGTGGGGTGCCTTAGGGCGCTCTCTTGTAGGCATGCTTTAACCTGCAATAAAGGACGTCAAGCAACTTGTCGCTCAGTTTGCGGTTGTTCTGCAAGACTGGGCAAAGTCAAGACACCCATTTGAGGACGCAATCCGAATTTCAAGCAGCCAGTGAAAAGAAGTGAAAGGGTCCACCCAAGGTCTTACACCTGTACCAGGAAGGATGTGCAAGATTCGCTTCTGCGTAAGGTGTAACTTCAGCGCACCCACATGCTGGAACAGTTGGATGTCTGAAATTCACAAGTCGAAAGCAAGCTAGTCACCTAGTCTGCAGAAGAAATTGTTTGAGTTCCGCTGAATGGTGGCTTTGAAATGTACACCAAAGGCGAAAGAAGAGCAAGCAGCACCGCGTAGCGGGTGTCCCACACATGACTTGTCCACTTGACTGGTAGAAGCGGCCATGCCTAGAAGCACGCTCAAAGCAGCCCCGACTCCCACACGTTCCAAAGCCCAAGTTTGACTCAACCCCTGCGTGACGGCGATCGTTCATGGAAAGAGAAAGCATGTTCTGTAATTTGTGCAACCTAATGCGTCGAAAGGATGGCACCTCAAAGCAACATAGATCAAGTCGCATGATCAAGCTTTCTTGCTTGAGGGGCATTGCCAATGCTTCTTTCCATGCTCGGCAAGGCAGTTGTTGGCCCTGGCCCTGGCGGCGGCGGCCGGCTTTGCCCCACAAGCCCTCCACAAGGCCTCAGTCAGAAGCAGAAGATGAGCTGGACCCTGTGCAACTTGACGAAAGCCCATGTTGCAATGCTGCAGAGTAAAAGGTTTAATAGGATGCCGCTTGATGTGCCTGGCGGGGTTCTCAGGTTCATGGTACAGCCATCCCCGATGGGGAAGCGCAATGCCATTCCAGCGGGGGAGAGAGGCCGCATTGACTGATCCCTGTTGAAAGCGCCGATGTGACGAAGGTGTGTCCTTGCAGGCATGTTTTACGGCCAGCTTGCCAGGTTGGATTTACTTTGAGCGGCTTGTTTCCACCATTCGCGTTGCCCTCACAGACGAGCAGTATGCAGTTGGGGGCCTGGAGTGGAGTTCAAAGCACCTGCATAATATAATTGCATTCCTACATGCTGTTGACTGCAGCGAACAAAAATTGTCTCAAAAGGAAGGGCGTCATGTTCAGTTTGAGTGCAACACACGGTTTCCGAAACAACTCTGTAGACCAGAACATCAGACTTCCGACATGGGCTTCCTGACATTTTAGCGGTTTGACCTCCCTTTACTTCTACAGGTCTTCTAAATGCTCAAACTTGGCGCCACCTTGGGGGGCCAACTATTCCAGGGGCAGGTCTTGTCGGCGAAGCATCACTAGCAGCTATTTGACCAAGTCCCTGACATTGAGGCCAGAACGGTCTACGCGAATGCTCCAGACCTGAAAGAGCAGCATGGACTGCAAGCGCTCAAGACCATTTCAGAGTGGATTCTATAGTTGTGATCCTGCGTATGCGTTTTATGTGGCAGCAACCTGGCTTCAGGTCCATACTTGCGAGAGCTCAAAAGCTGCGCCAGTGTGCCGCACAGAGCAACAAAGCTTTGCAGGAGCCTTTTCAAGTCCTCCTAAGAATCTTCAAGTGTTAGGTCAGGGTTTCCAATAATTAGGGTACCCTTTTGGGCAGACCTTGTCATGAGGATCATGAACTCTTATATAGATATGTGTATGTATATGGCCGCGAGTTGATGGAAGCACCCCTGTTCAATTGTAGTAGACTCCTCTTGGTCAGGCTTAGGAACGCATCTGGCACTCCGAGGCTTTCAGCAGCAGGTGAGGTCACATAGTCACGTCGGTCCTCTCTGTTTGGGATGGCTTCGGGCAGCATCTGTAGATGCATCCCTGCAGTTGTGTTGGGGTCGCCCCTGCATTGCAAGGAGCAGTTTGAGAGCTACATCGAAGAAATCAAGCAGAAGACCTTCTCAGCAACATCGATGGACAAGAAGAAGGCATCTGCCAAGAACACGGCAACCGCAGCCTGCTACAAGGGCTATAAGCTTGTTATTTTGCGTCTACTGTACTTGAGTGTAGAATTATGCAGAATTGTACATCCTAGCGACGGCCTGCGCATTGCCGGGGGACATATCCGTGTAGAACCCCTACATATCCCCTATATCCCCCTTTATAAGTGTACCCCTAATATTACAGGGAGTCTACACTCCTAGCATCCCCCTTTATAAGCCCTATAATGCTCCCCTATACCATCCCCTGTATAACCCCCTTTAAGGAGTTTAGATCCTAAACCCTAAACCCTATATAATCCCCTATATACGCCCCCTTTAAGGAGTTTAACACCCAAGGACGTGGATTTGGTCTTTTCCTTGCTGACCGGCCTTAGAGAGCGTGTATCGCTGGCTCTGGCCATGACGGTTCGAAGCCTATCTGCGGAGGACTAGCTGGCCTAGGGATTAGGGTTTAGGAATTAGGTTTTAGGGTTTAGGGGTTGGGGTTCAGGGTTTAGGTTTCAGGGTCTGCGATCTGCGGAGGACTGCCTGGCCCTATTGGAAGAGCTACTTGGCGACTGGGAGTTTCCTAGGGTTATATAGGGGTAGATAATATTAGGGTTTAGGGGGCAGCCCGTGGAGCCCAGATGGAAAAGGGTTCAGGAGGTATAAGGGATTATCTAGAGGTATTACCTTTTTGGGGATCCCCATAAAAAGGCTTATAGTATTTTGGTGTCTATGTTAAATCCCTTAATTGTGGGAAACTACCACTGTCATTGAAATTGGCAGAAGCACCACGAAGTACGGTAGCTGCACAGAAGAGATGGGTATTCCCAGAAATGTGGGTCCCCGATACCCCAAATCTTAGTAACCGTTTCTATCAAATGAAGACCTTGATTTCTGGCAATCACTAGATCATGGCAAGGGACGCGGACCTTACCATTCAAGATGGGCGTGGCTATACTGTGCTTCACAATGCGGCCAGGCGCTGCCGCTGCCAAACTTGTTGATTCATTCAGTTCGGAACGGGGGAACAAGTGCTGGCATTGCTACAAGAGGATGTCTACGCAAGACCGCAGGGATCCATTCATCCACTTATATCCTAACAACCGCCTGTAACGGACTTGCAGGTTTGTGTAGCGATCCTTGCCCTCCTGGCTGACATGCAGTTTGTGTTGCCATGTGCTGCCGTGTCTTCTTGCCGGAGGTTCCGCAATGTGGAGGTCACTGAACTGTTGCTCCAGCATGGTGCCAGCCGAGGATTGTGTGACATGATACTAGCATGTGCAGCTGTGAAGATTGATAAGCTGTACAACACTACTATTGCAGATTATGTTAGATTATAGTGTGTTATCGAAGCGTCCTTCCGGCGCTGCACTTGCCGGCAAATGTCAATGGAACCTGGTGGTGGAAGAAGCTCGAATTTACGATGAATATATCACATCATAATTTGTCATAGCATATTATCTGGACATTTGATCGTGTTGGCACAGGAACTCGAGATCGGCTTGGGAATTGTCCAGCCCATGTAATTCCACTGTATGCTGATGAGATCACGGTGAAGCTGCTCAATCTCCTGGCTGATGACGCAAGGCATTTGCGCAGAAAGCAACTTGCCAGAGCCAGCATCGTGATGCTGAATTTCAAGCTGTTGCCATAGCTTTGCATGAGTGCAGTCTGTAACCTTTTTTCTTCAACATGGGTTGGTGACTGAGGAATCGCGTGCCTTGGCCTGCAGATACGAAATGTTGAAAGGCTGATGCCATGTGTAATGCCTTTGTCCTTGTCAGCTACTAGCGTCACATCTCCAAGCATCACATACGCTACACCCTAGGAAATCGAGCATTTTAGAGATGGGAAGTTCCCAAAATTAGGGTCCCATTTTGGTAACCCTAAACATTAGGTGCCGCAATATCACCCAGATAAAAAGTCTCTTCAGCCAGGCCGGACTGAGTGTCATCGGGCGAATGGAGTCCTGGGCAATGGTAGCAGTAAATGGCGGCCCTTACCAGCCCATGATCGATTGGATTGCTGCGTGTCTTGCTGCAAGGGGAGGGGGAGGGGGGAGGGTCCCCCTCATTAAAGAGGGTCCACATCTCATGTCACTCTATATAAATATATATATATATTCATAGATGTATACATATACATATATGTAAGCTGTTAAGCTAGGGAACTTGAGGCTGCTTATCTCGCTCTTTTCGCGTCATGTTTGCAAGTGGAGTGACCCCTCAGTTTTCCCAGCGCCAGGAAGAAACTGGAGATACCGGACCTCGTAGAGCATGAAACGGGTAGCAAAGGATGCTTGGCCTGATTTGGGACAAAGGTTTTCTGTGCTTGTCGTGCTGGATTTACCCATATTTTAATTCTGGTGTGCAGGAAGAGGAACTTCAACTTAACTTAGCAACAGCTTGCTAGATTCCCGTGGCCCTGCAGCAGGCATCCGGCGACACGGGAGGTTCAACATCAGCACTGAAACAGTCGAAGTGGACGTGAAAGGTGAGCCCCGCCGAGTCCAGTTGATCCGGCCGATCTGGAAGCATGTGGCAACATTGCTATACGTGGGTATACCTCGATTCATACCCTGGTCCTTACAGGAGCACGCGATCCAAAGTTGGGCCGCGGCAGAGGGATTCCGGGTCTTCGCCATCAACGAGGACACGGTGAAGCCGGAGTTGCTGCAGAGCGACGATCCCCGGGACTTCCAAGATGATCTGCTGGCGGTCGTCCAAGCCTTGCTACCGCAGTTGGGGGATCGTTTCGTTCTAGTGGACAGCTCCTTCGGCCCTGGCACGTTTCTGGCGTGGGAGCTTCGGCGTCTCTTGCTGGGCGTCTTGATCATCAACGTGCACTTGTTTAAGGCTCCGAACTTTGACGAAACTGAGCTAGCGCAGAAAATCAAGAAGCGAATGGCGTTTCTGGGTGAGACATATGGCAGCCGCGACTATGACAAGATTTTGCCTCTGCTCTCAGATTTCACGTATCCGACTGGAGGGCCGGAGGGTATGGAGGAGATAAAGAGCAGCTACAAAGATGCTCTGGACGCTGCGTCGGACAATTTCTGGGAACTTGCGCGGCTGCAGCCTTCCTGGAATTTTGCAAAGCTCACGCCCACTTTCACTTCGTTGCCAGAGTGGCCCTTGCAGTCTCCGCCGGTCATCCTAGCCGCAAGTGATCAAGCTCCTCTTGTGGTAGTGGGTGAGGCCATGCAGAGACTACAACAGATCATGGCTGGATCGCAGCTTGAGTTTATCCCCTCCTCCAAGTGGTCTTGGCATTTGGAAGG